TGCTGCTGATTGGATATATGCATTGCCACTCTTGTACTGGAATGTTACTTCTCTTACACTGGAAACTCATGCAAATGACACATTGCATACTGCCCATTTAAGACAAAATCTCCATTAGTACCTTCCCTCTGTTCATCCTACAAATGCCACATCATGGTCTTTGTGAATGTATTTACAGTCTTTATGAATGCACACACTTCCACATTAATGTGCATATTGAATTTTTTCAAATACCATGGAATATGAGGTACAATTCATAAATTGTCCATTTCATACTTTCCTGCTTTAACAGTAGGGCCTTTTCTTATATTTCAGGTAATTGTTAACATTCTAATTTGTTGTATATCCGACCTCTTTCTGAAATCCCTTATCTTCTTTCATGCATGGAGACTGCGTTTAGTGTGCCACAGGGACCATGTACCATACACTTTGTGACATTTCGTACATCCTTGGATTTGCTTACTGCCCATTTAAGACAAAATCTCCATTAGTACCTTCCCTCTGTTCATCCTACAAATGCCACATCATGGTCTTTGTGAATGTATTTACAGTCTTTATGAATGCACACACTTCCACATTAATGTGCATATTGAATTTTTTCAAATACCATGGAATATGAGGTACAATTCATAAATTGTCCATTTCATACTTTCCTGCTTTAACAGTAGGGCCTTTTCTTATATTTCAGGTAATTGTTAACATTCTAATTTGTTGTATATCCGACCTCTTTCTGAAATCCCTTATCTTCTTTCATGCATGGAGACTGCGTTTAGTGTGCCACAGGGACCATGTACCATACACTTTGTGACATTTCGTACATCCTTGGATTTGCTTGTGAGCGTGGTATCTCCAAAGTTACAGCTGTAATTGTTATCTTTGTGCACATGTTAGGATCTGTGGATGAAGTGAGGAGTGTATCCGCCATGTGAGAGTCCACCTCCCTGGAAAGTGAATCAAGTAGATGAATGCTATCGCAGTACCAGAAGGGTTCTGCTTCAGAATGTCACCAAGCAGTTCTGCAAGATATGTTTTGAACATTCACACAGTTATGTCTGGCCTGTGTTCAGGTCATTGCTGTCCTTCTATTGCATTCACATGCTGAGGCCAGGCAGCAGTGCAAGTAAAAGCAGCATATAAATCAGGTCTCTCAGACTTTCATGCGGTCGCCATAACTTCCTGATAGTTTTGTTTCATTCATCATCTGCTCCCTTGGAAAATGGAAAGCAGAATTATCAGCTTCCCTGCTGTCAAGTTGTAGTTCTGAGCTCTTACTTCTGCTGCATCCAATAGTCCACGGTACACTTCCACTCAGATCTTTCTTATTATGGCATAAATAGTTTAATCTAGAACCTTCAGTCTTTACATAGATGTCTGCAATATACTGCTGAAATAATTTCCAATTACTGTCAATTAGGCTAAATCCAGGTTTCAGTGGAAGTGTGTAAGCAAATAATTGTAACTATTTAGACTAACATATGTTCTTCTCTCTTGTACATTTTGCAGTTCCTTGGGCCAGTCACTGGAAAAGCAATGGATACACTATAGGGTCTTTGTTCTTGTTCAGAAGTGATGCACTTCTACAGCCGTCACCTGTGAGATATATGCTTGTGTCTGTGTGTAGGTAGTTCCCCATCTTCTACAACAAATACTGCAGCAACCTCTGTTCTTGGTGTAGGTGCATTATATATCTCTTGTATAAGTTCCAGTCTGCCATAAATACCATGTCCACATATGCTGTCAGATTGACATGGGTTATTTGATGAATTTGTTTATATGACTCAGCAAATTAGCTAACTAGTTACAGAATCTCATCCACTCATTGGATTACTTTGGCCATACACCCAGCATTTGACTGGTTTTGAAGTCATTTTGTTCTTGCTTCAACATAATTTATTTAAAATATGGAGTTGTCCATATGCTGGCTTATTTGCCTCAGTTGGACATAGTGGTGAGACCAAATGGTAAATCCAGTCATGTATCTGGAACCAGTATGAACCAATTCCAGGTGGCAACTTAATCTGCACTCACATTGATGCGAATGCCATTGCTGAGTTTTACTCTCATGTATGTTCTCTGAGGTTATTTGTGTCATGTGTATCCCCTCTTAGCAGCTTTCTTAATAGAGCAGGTGCCTAAGACAGTGGGTCAAGTGGTGTGTTTATTCAATGTGTTTAACTTGTGTCCCAAATATCGTGCATTGCAGTTCTCAGACACATTTCCTATGGCATGCTCTCCCACATTGATTACAGCTTGTTGATTTTTTGCATCCAGTAGTTCTATTTCACGAGTCCTATGGCATTTTGCTCTTCTTCTCATTTCCAGTCATTCGCCTTCTTCAGTGTTCTCTGTCTGTCTTCACTTTCATTTCAGTATCTTAGTCTATTGATCTTTCCACTAATTATTCACTGGCATCTCTGCTACAGTACCTCAGAGTTCTTTCACGTGGTCCAGCCATATCTGCGCCTTTTAAAGCTTCTACACACTATATTAAGCTCATAAAGGGTCATATATGTGCTTAATGTTTTTTTATTTTATTGCTAGTGGGGTGGGACTAAATCCCTTGTACTGTGGCCACTTCTGACCTATTATACCAGCCCCAGATGATAGGCGAGGGTGATTGTGGATTAGTTGGTGAATGAAGATTGGCAGGGCAAACCGAAGTACTCGGAGAAAACTTTTCCCAGCTCCACTTTGTCCACCACAAATCCCACTTGACCAGACCCAGGATCGAACCCGGGCTGCCGCGGTGGGAAGCCAACAATTAACCACTTGAGCTATGGCATGGCCCCTGCTTAATGTTAAGTTTAGAAATGCTTAGATGTCATTTTTACACTCTTACACAATGTATTATGCTCATAGAATTAAATTTATAAAAGGTTATATATGTGTTTCAAGTTGCACATTGTTACTACTGCTTGGCTAACCTGAAACGGCTGAATTTTATGTGTTTGTGGCTGATTCTTAGAAAATATTCCACCTTTAGAAATCATAAGTACGAAACAGGAAATACTTCATAATGGTGAATTTTTTGTTTATGTAACATATGCATTATTGTTAGCATAGTGAAATAAAATCAAGGTTGGTTGAATCTGTAGTTCAATTGCAAGTAATAAGATTTACATAATTAAGATTGTAGTCTTCTGAGATATTATGTCATGTAGTTTGGTAGTGTGGTACTGATATTTTATAGAAATTACCACCATCATCTTCAATATTGAAGGACATGGCAGCAGCACATCCTTCCAAAATATTTTTATCTGTCTACCAATCTACATCCCAGAAGATGATAATATTAATTTTCATCACTGTGAGAACCTATGATGTCACAAAAATTGCACACAGAATTTGATATTTTTGCCCATTCAATTGGACTGGGAATGGAACCTGAGTAACCAATATACCAGTCATTTTACTGTAATGTGTGATTGCCTGATTACAGTAGAATGAGCTGGCTTGTACACTTGCTATGCTTTTACCTGGGAAATGTTCAGCCTTTGCATTTGTCTGTGTGTTTGGTGCATGGAATTCTCAGTTGTATTTTCTTCCTCTTAATGAATAGTAGAACTTATGATTTGGATTTGGAACATTTGAAAGTACAATACTAACATTTGCCAGAGAGACTGAGGAAATCCCTGAGAAATCTTAGTTAATAAAATCAGTGACCTGGCTGAGAACTAAGGTTTGTACCCCCTGAATGCAAGTCTAGAATGTTACCACTACATCACCTGTTTAGTTCCACATTTGTAGCTTTGTGAGATTTTGTTTTCAGGGGAGTTTAAAAGACAGAGTCTGTTATGTAATCTCTATACATGAAGGGAACTGAGTATTTTGACAGTGATTCCAAACACTTTCCCAGAGGAGCGTAGATGAGTGTCCTTTAATGCTTCGTTATCAACAATATAAAATATGTTTGAGAGGCAAGGACAATTTCAGGATCTTCTTTCTCACATATTTTCTTTGAAATTCATTCTGTTAAGTAAAAAATATTATTTTTTTATTGCTAGTGGGGTGGGACTAAGTCCCTTGTACTGTGGCCACTTCTGGCCTATTGTACCAGCCCCAGATGATAGGTGAGGGTGATTGTGGAGCAATTGGTGGAATGTAGATTGGCAGGGGAAACCAAAGTACTCAGAGGAAACCTGCCCCATTGCCACTTTGTCACCACAAATCCCACTTGACCAGACCTGGGATCGAACCTGGGCCAAAGCCATGGGAAGCCAGTGACTAACCGCTTGAGCTATGGCGCGGCCAAGTAAGAAATCACTTGGTCACTTGGATTGTATCCAGCAGTTTCTCACAACATGAAATGGATCCTGTGTGGTGTCATTAAATAAATAAACATCCAACAGTGTCATCTGTCACAATAAATCTAACATTTGGAAATAATTTTCCAGTCCCTATGGACTGAGTCAAACAATTTTGAAATCCAAGTAATGTAAATCAGACCCTATGATGTCAATTTTTAAATACACATAAAACATGGTCTGGTGTCAAGCTCAATCCAACATTTCAGAAGCCACATTCCGATTCAGTTTTGGACTGAGTCTGATAATTTTCAAAATTCAGATGACATAGATTGAACTTAGTGTGGTGCCTTGCTAAATTAATGGAATCAAAATGGTTAAGTATGAACAGAATATGTTAAGTCTTTGAAGTGTGAAGGTCATGTAAGTAATATTAAAAAATTCAGTTCCTATCTCTCAGGGAACACGTCCCTTAAAGAGACCATCTGGTTAATGTAGTTCAGTAATGTTTATTCTAGCAGTCATATAAAATACACTGTTTATGGAAAATGCGAAACTTTTTAATGTTATACAGGTTATGCATGTAGTTAACATTGTGTTTTGAAGGGTCAAGGTATTAAGCATGGAGGGAGTATATGCATCTTTCATGTTCTGTGTCCCAGGAAATTTGTGCCCATTCTGACCTTCATTACTACACAAAGAGGAGAACTGCATCAGTCTGTGTGGTTTCAAGAAACTGTTACATGTTTGTTACAGCTTCCCTGCTATTGAGTTCAGTTCCAAGGATGTCCAGCAGAGAGCAGCCTATGCTGTATGCATCATCACATCAGCATTTGCCTATATCAAATGATGATGAAGAGAACCGAGTTCCACTGCTTGATGCAGAACATTCCTGAAGTTTGTCATTTATTATCACACACACACACACACTTCCTTTTGCAACATTTTTACAGAAATTTATCTGCTGCAGGAACAGGGACAAGAAAACTTAAGCATTCAAACACTTCTAACTATGAGGAATGAGGAAAGTGAAGTCAGCTCTGTTTGCCGTTATTGATACACTGTTGTGTTGGTAGCTCTGGTTTGTAGCAGCCCTCTTATATCATTTTTCATGTAACCAAAACATACATAGTTTAATACATCGGCGTACCATTTGCTTCGTGTTGCTTTTGTATTTAAAATATCTGTACAACTTAAAAGTTTTAAAATAAAAGCCTCAAAATTATTTAAAAACTTCATATGCCAAGTAAATAAATTTCAATTTTTATTCCTTCATACTTCAGTTATTGTGGTAGCTAACATAATTCACCCAGATTGATGTCTCATATCTGCCATCAGATTATATTATGAAGGGTGAGCATAAATGTCCATCATAAATTCAGTTATGTTCTTTTATGCGTTCCTACAAGTTCACACTTAAATAACCCTGTATTGTAAAGAGTGGACATAATTGACCCTTGCACCATGAACAGTTATGGTCTTTTGTGCTTTCCTATAGAATCACCCTTACACAACTCTGCATTATGTAGGCTGGGACTAAGTGGCCCTTGCCCTTATTGGGGTCCTACTGCAGTCAGTAGGATTTGCAGAATAATCTCTGAAATGATAACATCTGAGTCATATGAGTTTCTTGTAGTTACATAATATTTAAGGCTCTTTTCCCATTTATTGGAATGTCTACTGCAGACTGAATTATCTGCTACACCCAGTTTGAATAAGAGTCCCTATCAGTGACAGGTTCCTGTTAATATTCCTATCATATGTGATTGGTTATCTTCACTGTTTTGACAACATCACTTCATCCATAGTAGGTACACCAGAAACCTTTGTTTCTATAATCACACCTGACAAATGACAGAAAACTAAATGAGGTATGTGTCTGTTGGGGTGGAGGTGTGCACATGTGGTACAGTGCTGCTGCCTTGTAGTTTTGGAGACATATACAGTTGGCATATTAACCTCTTTACTGCTCACATGAGATTCCAGAAGGTTTTGTGTTTTGGTAGTGATGTCACTGAAGACATTACTTTTTGATGGATATGCCTAAAATCAGAATGTTATCAGTTGCTTAATAAAAATGTTCGCAGTCAAATGAAAAGACATTGTGACAAAGTCAACAGTTAAATGGTTGTCATGATTAGACTGTAGTCATATTTTGGATATGACAGCTGTTTTTGGTTGCCAGTCTATTTTGAGAAAAGCATGTAAAACTAATTGCAAACAAAGGCTGTTTTATCATAGTACTGTTGATTCAAATAAATTTCTCATTGAAACATTGTATAACCAAACATTTTGTGATCAGTTCTGTGAGAAATAGTGCAGTGAATAATATGATCTGTAGAATGCAGTTTATCGTGCTATTTTTAGTGCTATATCTTGAGAGATATACAGTGTGTAACACCAAATATAGATATATACCTTCTTCAAGTTGGAATGATGAATATGTCTGCCATCATATATTTTCAGTCTATATGATGAATGGAATAATGACAGTCATTCTATGCTGAAGCACAAAATTAGCAGTATTCTCAGTTCATCGATGTGCAGTATTATTCACTTCCAAGGCCTCTATGGTACATTCCAAAAATGACTGACTTTGAGAGATTAATGTATTTGAAGGCCGTTCATCATGGTAAGTCTGATTTCATAACCTCGTCATTTTCAATTGATGGAAATTATGTGGCCACAACACAGAAATGGTCAAGCTGTGACAAAGTAAATTTATGGGTATGTCAGTCATTTTAGATCTGACAGGATACTCCTTTTGTGATCTTGCCTACTGAACCATTATTCATTACATTCAGTCAGCTGCCAGTCACTATATATATATAACATATTTAAAAGCATGAAAGTGGCACATGGATCAGAGAATAGACAAATTCAATCTGCTGACCCCCACTTCAGAAATGTTGTGACTTTTGTATGGTGTAAGGTTGAGAAGTTCCCTGAGGTAAGAATTCATAGTGGTCTTCTTGGCTGTGATAATCACGTAGTCTGGTAGGTAGGGAAGATGCCTCCATCTTTAGGGTAGATTTTTTACCCTGAAGATGGAGGTGGTATGTTCCTCCAAAACATTGGTGCCTACCTGCAAACTACATGGTATCATAACCCAGAAAACCGCAATGTGATCATGCATATGATAACTTTATATGCTTAAAAAAGAAAATGCAAGAAAATATGACTTACAGCTGAGCTGATGAAGGGAATTTAAACCTGTTACATAGTTAGAAGCTTCATTCTAGAATTCAGAACTATGCATATACAAGATGATTCAGAAGAATATATGGTTACTTCACTTGTATGCTTAGAGAATCACTTACATTGTAAGAATATCAAGAATAGTCTGTGGAATTAGCTTCATTATAGAGTTACTTCATTTCAAGCTTTTCCACATGTAACTACATAAAAGAAGATGAATGAGCAGATGGTAGTGATAGCATAAAGTCCATTGAAATTTCAGTGGGAAATTATTGCAATTTTCAACATCATACCTGGTCACAGTGTATTTATTTAACTGTGATGTACTTTTATATATGTTATAGTCTTCAAGAGATACTTTAAAATCACTTCATTGAATATGCACACTGTAAACTTGAAAAGTTTTGTTAAAATGGCTACATTTATACTAAGATACTGAACTTTATGCAATAAAACTATACACAAAACAGTGCTCTTATCTGGATGTATGCTAAGAACTTATTTTGATAATGGTGGACACTGCAGTACTGACTCAGGAATCATTCCACCACCATTAATTGCTGCCATCTTCTGCTCCTGTTTATAAGTACTACCATAACATACATATCAGAACAGCAAGTGTTGGCATTCTATATACATGGATTATTACAACTGAATGAGTCCATTTGAGGAATATGGAGCACCACAGAGGTTACAGTGTATATTTACTTGCCCATACACTCAGCACTACTGGCCTTTCAACTGGGAACTCTGTGCAGAAAACTGTGGACCACCATCATTGTTCCTGAACATTTTTCATTCTGAGCATGAAAGTGATGTATTTAAGTACTTGTCTGAATCATTCTCCACCTGCTTTTTGTTACCATTATCTACTAAATGTTTGTGGGGTGAAGCTTACAGTTTCTTTGTTGCCAGATGTCAGCATGAACTATTACTGACATATTTCCTTACTACAATAAATTCTTATCAATACTTGCCTTGAATACTGAATTCGTGCCAGCAGCTGTCTTAGGCAGTGGTTGCTTTCTAAAATTTTTTTTTGAAACTGAAATTTCCCAAAGAGTTCATTAACAAGGAATTGGAATACATGATCTATAAATTTCATTTTAAAAGTCAGAAATAATTACAATGCAAAACTTTATTCTAAATTTCACTTCTACAACAAATAGTTCTTGAGTTTTGAGATTCTAATGGTAGTAAATATTAGGAGTAAAGTGTTGTGGAATGTGACACCATGTAGTTTGGAAGACAGGTACCAGATGTTCTGGAGGTACTTGTTGCCTGATTTTCAAGAAAAAAGACACAAGTAGTGAATGTAAAAGAAAAACAGACACAATGAATAAGATGATGGTAACAAAATATCTTGAGTTAATAGCAGAGTGGTCAGAATTACTGGGTTTTTGGACTGTGCTCATTGTCTGTTATTCTAAAAATCACAACGTTTCAGAAACTGGAGCTGTTTCCATCCTTAGGTGATGGGGGAGACACGTACTCTGTTAGGTCCCTTAGAAAATCTAACATCAGTCACTGGACCAACCAAAAACCCAGTTATTCTGAGTGTTATACACTACTGCTAGAACCCTTTAGAATAGCAGCAGAGGGCAGGTTTTGCAGCATGCATGAAATAAACAAAAGTACAAGTATATAAAGCCATTGTTCTTGTGTGACAACTGAATAACAAGACTTCTCATGTGATAGCTGAATGGTATTTGTTGTGTGTAAGGAGGGGTACCATTTGTACTGTTCATCAAAAGGGAAGAAACTGATCTACTCACGACCTCAACTGTCACTATAACATGCATATTCCTGTGTAAAGAACATAGTTTATCTTGTAGGCTTTTCACTGTTTACAGCTGTATGATGGTGAATCTTGAAATCTGTTGTGTCTTGATTGGAATGTGATCATGTAGGAGCTCTCACAGTCTTGTTTNGAAATTAGTTCTAAAAAAACAGAAATAAAGTCTTACATAAACAGCGTTAGGTTGCAGGCACATTAACGAAATCAGGTCTAACTCACTAATATGTTGTAAATTCAAACCCATTTGTTTTACAGAGAATTTGTATATAATTGCCAGACTGCATGAGTCAAGTCAAGTGAAAGTGAGGTTCTGTCTTTGCAGCATATTAGTGACTGAGACTTCATTCAACATGATTGAACTTGATTGAACTAATGTCAGCAACTTTATTCTAAAATTTTCATTTCGTGCATCCTGTTTTGTTACTATATACAATTTTCTTTATTAGTGGCCCTCACAACACAATGTAAAGGTCAAGGCTAAAATTAGCTTGGCTACATGTTTTGGCTATTGAAGCCATCATCAGGCGCACACATGATTACCATATTCACACACTACTGAACTGCAATTGCAATGGTAAAGCTGGATACTTCATAATGTATTATAAAATACATGGTATAAAAATACAATGAACTATATACTTATTAAAATGAAAGTTATGGCATAAAATAAGGTTAAAACTCTTCATGTGATATTCTATATCATCAATTCAGTTGTTTGCAATTTTGTTATATTCCCGCAGACATAATGGTATATTCAGAGTTGTATACTACATGTAATAAACTGCTTGGAGGCCCATGGTATAGATGTAGTATAGTTTAGACATTAATTGTTAAGCCAGTGCCTCATCTTACAATGTATTTTGTCCGTTCTGTAGGGAATGTAGATTGCAATCTATATTCCCTACAGACTTCATTAAGTGAGAAACTTTCGTTTATCAGTAATGTAATAGTGACAAGAGGAATATACTGTGTTATACTATATAATAATAATAAATTAATACATTCAAGCATAGATTCATATTTCAAAGCTGTTAGAAAATATATGCGGTGTGTTTATTAAGAATAACACAAGAGCAATACATAATTCACAAATGCAACATTTTGCAACCTAGTCCCCCCACATATTTTAATAAGCTTGGTCTTGCATTTAAATAGATGAAAACGCAACAGAACAAAGTCAGAACTGTATGACGGATCTTTCGATGTCTTGGCTTATGGTGTGCTTCAGCAGTGTACTGCTGTACAACAACATATGTTGACAGCTGTTCTTGGTGTTGAATTCAAACCACTGGCTTCAGCTTGTCATGCAGCATCATGCATAATGTGCTCTGTTTATCATCATACCCACTCCCAATAATGCTCAAGAACTGTTCCCTGCAAATTTCAGAAGAGTTTAAGTATTACTTTTCCCATCCTTGTTAACATTTGGACTTCTTTTTGACAGGGGATGTTGGTTGTTTCTGTTTCCTGCTGTGTGCCATTTATTGTAGTAGTGGATCCATGCTCTTTCACCAATGAAAATGCAACTCAAAAAGGCACCACCATCCTCACGATACTGGTTCAAAAGGCAGTTTCAGGTGTCTAAATATATATGCATGTTCTGTTTTGTGAGTTCTTTCAGAACCCACCTTGCGGCTACTTTACAGAAGTTAAGTCTGTGGTGAACAATTTCGTAGGCAGAAACATGATTAATTTGCAGTTTGCTTGCCACTTTTTCAATAGTCACCCTTCTGTTGTCGAGAATTAGCATGCACCCTTGTCCAGTGTTCCCCTTAGTAATTGATGTATTTAGGAGCCATCATCATTCTTCATCTGGGACACTTGTTCAACCATTCCTGAATATACAATTACTGAGTTTTTTTTTGACATCCATCATCCTGTTTGTTATTCAAAATCAATGTTTCAGAGACTGAACTCTTCTCCATCCTTTTGTAAAAAGCTTACTGACTTGAGCCCAATCAATAAAGCTAGACTATGTCTCTGGTCGTTTTTTAAAATGTCGGTCCATTCATCATACATGCTGCATTGTGGCCATTGTGTCTTTAATAAATTTCCACATCTACCTTCAGTCCACAAAAATTGAGTCATTACACACTGCTCTGCCTTGGTACATGTGGTAAGCAGAGTGGTCATGCTGATGCCACTAATGGTGAAAGATCAGATAAGTCACTACTATAATAGGAAGGTCCTATGCTTATTGTTGCATGCACAGCATTGAGGCCAATTGCTGAAAATGACATGGACATCTTGCGGTTATTTTCTGATTTACATGCTTAGATCAGAGCTGGGAAAGTGCAGTCGGTACAGTAACTGGTTACAGGCTGGATGACTGAGAGTTCGGAGTTTGAGTCCTGGTAGGGGCAAGAATTTTCTGCTCTCCATGTCTTGCAGACCAGCTCTGGTACCCACACTGCCTCCTATCCAATGGTACTGGAGGCTCTTTCCCCGGAGGTAAAGCGGACGGAGCTTGAAGCTGACCAGTCACCTCCAACTAGTGTCAAGGTCAGGAATACCTGGATCTATATATCTATTCCCCCATACACCTTCATGGCATAGTGTTTAATTACCTGTACATTAGTTCAGCACAGGGAAAACTTTACCATTTGTACAGCATTTTCTGTATTTTTTAACAAAGTTATTGTTTTGCTCAGGAATGAGCTTTACCATGAGAATTCACGTGATCTACAGGTACACTGAAGGAGAAGTGTGTGGTACATTAGAAAAGATGCTGCGCCATAGCTCAAGCAGTTAGTCACTGGCTTCCCACCGCGGCAGCCTGGGTTCAATCCCGAGTCTGGTTAAGTGGGACTTGTGGTGGACAAAGTGGTGCTGGGGTGGGCTTTTTCTGAGTACTTCGGTTTCCCCTGCCAATCTTCATTCCACCAAATTCTCCATCATCATAATCACCCGGGGTAGGTACAATAGGCCAATCAGTGGCCGCCGTGCCAAGTGGACCCAGTTGGACTCCACCCCCCACTAAGCAAATTTAATTTTTACGTTAGGAATAATAAGACAGTTTCCTAATGACAGGAGATGGAATGTTGAAGGCAAAGACCAAAGTTCTACATCATTTATTGAACACTGCTACCACTCCCATGTGCTGAATTGAGATTGTACAAAAAAAAGTTCTGCAGTCTCGGCAGAAGTTCACAGTTCATTCTGTACTTAATAATTAACCACATTTTGTCTCACACAATTCTTGTTTGTGCAGAGGTAATGATTATTTTGCATTGCTTTAAATTGACTTGTGATAAATGGGTTATCTACTTCTGCTTGCAATACGCAGGAACAGAATAAACATCAGCATTCCTTGTGTTTTATAATTGAAGTTATTATGAATTTGTAAGATATATTACTTCAAGTATTTTATTCTTTTTGTTTTATTGCTAGTGATAATATCTTTTTACGATTAGTTCTGAAATTCAGCACCAGGCAGAACCTGTGTCAGACACAGCATCTTCAAATTCGGTCTCTGAGGGGGAGGGGGATGAGATAACCACTCCCTCGGATGACCAAAGTAAAGCAGATCAGGGGACCCCTCCCAAATTGGAAGAGATACTAAGTACATACACATAATAAGTACACATAAGTACACACACACACACACATAACATGAAATTCCTTCAAATTAGCCTACACCACAATAAAATGGCCACAGAAACTCTATACCAGCAACTAGCTGAGGGAAAGGCAGATATAGCACTTATTCAGGAACCTTGGTTATACAAGGGTCCAATAAGATCGGTGAGAGGGTTTGCTATCATACCACCTGCCGTGTCGGTTGGAAAGTATGCTGTCACACCAACAGCCTATGTGCACTCCTCCTTCCCAAAGAATCACTAGTTCACATGAATAGCTGCAAATAATTTGCAATCCTGGCCTCTTGTACTGCAGAGGTTCTTATTCCAGTGTGTGTTTTTTGTTTTCAAACTGAGTTAATATGACTTCATTCAAAACCACCTGGAGGGGCATGAACTAAGTGATATCAAACTCAGATCAAAAACAGATAACACACAATGGAGTAAGAACCTCTGCAGTACAAGAGATCAGGTTGCAACATTATTTTTTGGGAGAAAGTTTCTCACCAGTGCCTGTAAAGTATGAACATTTCATTTACATCAATTCAACACCCCCTTACTGAAATGCAATGGACATTTGAACTATAACATACATAGAATACTTTTGTTTAGGAAAGCTGATGGTGAGGAAACTTGAAAGAAAATTCTGTTTCCATCAGAGATACTTGTATTCAACTTCATAATTCTGCTTACAACTTATACTTGAAAGCTACACAGAATGTAGCTTTTCAGTTACATTAATGTGTTATAAATCATGTAAGTAATAATACCGATTTTTTCCATTTGTTATTAATTTCAGTAGTATAATGAAACTTAAAAATATGATACACACTCTTGTTAACAAGATTAAAATTGTACAGAACTATAAGGTTTATTCCAAAATCCATCGTCTGGATAGAGTCCAAAATAAACCTTATAGTCCTGTACAGCATACATCATTGTCAGAATCCTTTAAAGTCTATTTAAGATTAAGATTGTGTTTTATAATATATGAAAAGCAGTAAAATAATTGCAGAACTCTGACAAACCTCATGATCTGAAACATACTCATGTTTCCAAATTCAATACTAAACATAATAATGTAGC